GGACAGTGGTTGTGTTGGACCTGGACCGTGATTCCGTCCCCATTGATGTCTGCGGCGTCGTCGAGGACATGACTCGTCAAGTGACGAGTAATGCGACTCCTCCACTTCTGCCTCTTCTGTCGTAGCGGTACGTCTCGTACCGCGGGCACGTCAGACTATGGGCAGCATCCAATTTCGTTTCTTGGATGGCCATCACCTCTGGTTGGTACTGGTCTAGTATCTCCTGGATTTCTGGTTTCCGTGCCCTGAATCCTTTGATGTTCCAGGAGATAATGCGTAGAGATTCCACGTTTTGACCTGTAGTCATTACTGGTCTAATGCTTGTCTTGCATCTTGGCCTCGAGTGCATCCAGGCGGGTTATGATGGCTTGCATCATAGCTAGCAGTCTGTCATCGCCGTGTTGCTTCTGCGCAGTAGTTCCAGTAGCAGTGGCGGCTGCTGGGCAGAAGTAGACATGGTTTTCTTTGCTTTTTCTGCGTAAGAGGTCCTATTTGAGGTGGAGACTGCTTTGGGGGCAGCAGCAGCTTTCTTCGGGGCTTTACTACATTCTTTGTAGTTTGCTGGGTGTCCTTCTCCGCAAAGGCGGACGAACCAACCCTCATATACTGAGTGACAAAAACAAGTAAACACCAAAGTATGTTTATTAGAATTCAAGAATTTTTTACATATCGATTTATTTAGCTATGAACTACAAGTGATAAGATGGTCAGGTTTTTCTAATTAAACATGTCTGGGACATGATAGGTCGCATGCTCTTGAATTTGCAACACCCTCCACAGACTTTAGCAGCTTTTACTCACGAAGCTGCAGTTGCCAGGAATGAGATACCCCAACAGGATATCGACCACTTATCAGCACGAAGCCCAGGCGTGTCAGTGAGTGCATAAGAAATCGTAGATCCTCAACACATTATTGAACCAGCTTCTGCAGTCAATTGACGAATCAAGCTGAAAATTTAATCGTTTTACTAGTAAGTGACACTGAACATATATGCAAAAAAACTATTAAAATCGGATAAACATAGGTGTTTAACTTTTTTGTCGCTTAGTATATTACAGTCCACTCAAATACTCGAACAACTCCCTAGTCCTAAATAGATAACCGAACTCCTTCCAGCAACCATTGAGATAGACGAGACGTACCTCAACAGTTCATTTCCATTATCTCGTAAAATTATAACTTCTCTTGGGTGTTTATCACAACGCAGCATTCCAAAAATATCTTGTATGTGTTCTGCTTGCGTAAGCCGTCAAGTGCAATGTAATTAAAATGCGGAAAAACACGATGGCGTAAATAACTGACAGGCAAGTAATTGTAATCGAATTACTTGGAAGCTCATTATGGCGAGTACGTTATTACCTTCAAGCCTTGAACGTATCGGCTACAGCACCGGTCTACGCTATTATCAGTTATCAGCTATGAATGTCATTAACATCAATAGGCTGCATTCCACTGGGCAATTCAACGTTTATTACGTTTACGTGGAATATCGAAATACTATGATAGCGAGAGAAAGCAATAAGACTCACTCAACTACGAGCCCCTTTCCCACTTCAGTTGGCCCACTTCAAAGATTTGTACCAAAATATGCCTTTATAAACTAAACATGTCGAAACTATTTACTTCTAAAACAATTTATTTTCTCAAAAACATTTTAGATACACTCTAGTCGTAAAAATACATATTTGAAATTACTTAGACCTATAACTAATAGAACATCTGAACAAATAAGCAATGTGCGAATAAATGCGCGAAGTTAACAAAGCAACAATTGAAGGATTAGCAATGGGTAACATCACCTTTATTTTTTATTACAGCTGAAATTCTTTGGGGCATAGTGTTAATCAAGTTTTGGCAAAAATTTGGTGAAAACAATCCCATATTTCTTGAAGCTTTTGTCTCAGTTCGGTGATTGTACGAGCAGGATGTTGTCGTAGAACCTTTTTCATCTCGTGCCACAAGTTTCAATAGGTGACAGATCTGGACTGCTAGTAACCCATTTCAAAAGTGGTACATTATTTCTTCCATCCATTTTATAGCCTTTTTTGAGGTATGGCACGCTGCACCATCTTGCTGAAACACAACATCTTGACCGGATGTCAACCATTCTTCAATCACTGGTAAAAGCGATTCTTCTAAAATTGCCAAATATTTGTTTGTATCCACATTCCATCAATAAAATGAAGTTTCCTACTCTTTTTGATGACATACTGCCCCAGACCATAATGGATGCTGAAAATTTCACTTTTTTTTTTCAGACAGTCAACATGGAATGCTTCATTTTTTGCGAATAACTCTACTGCGACTGTCACCAACACAAACTTCGAATCGGGTATCATCACTCCATTGTATGCACACCATTGTTGAGGTGTCCATTGTATATGTTCTTTAGCCCATCTAAGCCGATTTTCTTTGCAGTGGAGTTAATAGTGGCTTTTCTTTGGCCTATAAACAAGTTGTGCAACTTTAGGGTTTTACTTCACTCTTTTTTGTAAGAAAACTTACCTTGCAAGTGCTAAATCCCAGTTTGTGGGCCTCTCTATGAGTTTTGGACCTCGAAATTCTCCTTCCAACAGCGTCACTCCACAGAGCACTTAATTGTAAATAATTGGCACGCCTGTTTTTCACGATTATTCTTCTTAATGCTCTTCGGTCGGCATTTGTGATATTACTTTTTTTCACATATCGTGGCTTAATATTAACTGAACCAGCTACGCTATATCTTCTAACAATATTTCTCACACTGTAGCGCGATAAGTCTAACAAAGTTGCAATTTCTGAGTTTGATTTCCCAGAATTAAAAAATTTAATTATCAGTAACCGAATTTTTCTCACTAATAACATTTCCTCTACAGATTTTGAAATCCTTAACTACCCAAAACTATTTTAAACGTATTCTGACAGCAGTGATTAATAAAAACAATTGTCATGGCTTTTACTTTTCACAGCCACCTATGCGTTATAGACTTATTTTGCATTGAAATGAAAATAGGTTGATATGTTGTAATGTGTTTTTATGCTGCAAATTTGATTAGGGAGTGATAAAGTTGGTGTTTTGTACTATATATTATCAACATATTTATTGTTAATATTTTAAACCTATAACACCCTGCTACATTTTTATATTTGTGTTTGATAAGAAAAAAACTAAGATTTCAATAGTTGGGCCAACTGAACAATTCAATGTAAGAAAAATCGACATAACGTCACTTTTCAAGATCAGTGTCTTAAAGTTTTGAGTAAATTTTAACTCCTATTCATTGATTAAAATCAACTTTAGTTAAAATAATTGCATTGCACCTTCTTTCATAATTTTTTCACATATTTTCCACGACTGATATTTTTTAATTTAATTTTAATTATAAATGGTTGACTCCGATATTAATTTTGTGTTCCTGCTTTTCAGGTAAGTCTACCGACACTTGAGGTAGAGGCTAGAACTAAAACTGGTGAGTGGAAATGCTATAAAACCTCCTGCTGAAATAGATGATGTACAGCTATCTGAAAACTTTTTAAAGATACTTAGTGGAGCTTTCAGTTGACGATGTACAGTTTTCAGTCAATCGGCCTGTGGTTCTCAGCTGGAAATGGACCATAAACACAACTCTGATTCATGTTATTGGCTATAACTTCTCTGCTAACGGCCTCAGCTGTGATCGTTAATGGTGTCATTAGGTGCTTAGTTTTCTACGAACTTGTTTTTATGCTGTCGTTATATAGGAGCAAGAAAATTTGGTCTGCATTTCAGTTTAGAACAATAAATATTGACACATGACCATGAAAACCGCTTGAAATGTGATTCATAGTTGCATAGAATTACTCGGATTGGAGTATTAAACCAACGTCAAAAAATTCAAATGTAACCACCCATACCGTCTGTAATCCCAAACCCCCACGATTTTTTGAATGGAAAGAGATGCTGAGTTTAACGATTGTTACGAAAAGCAGTCCAGAATCCAGGATGTCATGTTGCCCTGACAACACCCAAAGGCTCAGTCGTTACCTCTGATTCAGAGATAACAGAGCAACATAACAACTTTAAAGTAACAATTACTGTACACATCCTGCCATCAGATACATTCTAACTCCAGCGATTGCCAAGAGAAGACGGTTAGGCAGTCATTCAGACCTAGGATGTTACGTCGGCCAAAAGCCATCCTGTCAAAATCCCAAGCGCTCCGACATTTCCCCTGAAGAGGACACACCGTGCAGTAATTAATATAACTATCTAAACCCATCATTCGAGCTCCGAAAGTCCGATAACAACCACCAGAGACTGGAGGCGACACACCTGTATGAGCCAGTTAATTTCCCTACTACTATTCGTGATTATTCGTCAGAGCGGTCCGGTGGACCTTTGCTCTTAGTTAAAAGTCTCGTCGGTCTGTTAGTCTGTCAGGTCTGCTACCCAGATACCAAACATGTTTAAGGGGAAAAGGGAAAGAAAGGAAGGAAGAAATAGAGCA